CTCTCTCTCTCTCTCTCTCTCTCTCTCTCCTCGCGATTAATTCGTAAACCACGCGATAGGGATCCGGCTAATTTGGAATTCGGAACCGAGGGGGGGGGAGGGGGAGGGTGGAGGAAAAATCGGCCCCGTTTCGATGACACACTTTATATTCCCTTAATTTTCATATCGCAGTGTATTCGTCTATTTGGCACTACTTTTTTGGCTTCCTTCGAATACATTTGGATTCGAAAGCCCCGGGGATACAAGTGCCAACTTCCACTCTTGCCAGACTCCTACCAGCGTTCCCGAAGAATCGGGTTCAAGCGAAAACTATATTAGAATGGTGAAAAGAGAGGGGTATTAAGAATTCTCGCTCGTTGGCGTGACGACGAACCTCGAACTCGAGATTATTATTAAGGGAGCAAACAGATTTATTCCCTCCTTTCCACGGATTTCCGATCCCCCGAGACATTTATTATTAATCGTCCACATCATAAATTTTAGACCGCCCCTTTTATACCGTTCGTTGCCATCCTTTTCGATATTCGCGGATTTTAATAAAGATCCATCGATCGGCCAATCGATTGATATAAATAAACCCATCGACGATTTTTACGGAGAAGATAATAAATTCGGAAATTAAATTCGGCGTAACGTAACGCCTCGATTTATCTCTCTTCGATTCTATTATCCGGAATGGCGAAACGAAGGAGGAGGAGGAGGAGGAGGAAGCAGTACGTTGCGTGCTGCTTGAAATTCGTACGCGATTCTTTATTCACGCACGTTCGAACGTTGCCCGGAATTTCAGCGTAGAAATTACTCGGTGTGTTCGTAGCCCGATCGCGTTCCGAATTCCAAACCACTGGCCGATCGGTGGAAAAGATCGACTTATCAATCACGGCCGTCCTTTATTTCGAGGAAAAATCGAAAAATCGTTATCTCCTTTTATCCCCTCCCTCCTTGTCTTCTCGGGCTCCGTTTCAAAAAATTTATAACACTCCCGTGAAGTTATTCACGGGAGCAGAAGAGACAGGAAGAAGGACGTAGTACTTGTAACGAGACGGATGAAACAAGGATGAAAACGAGAAGCGACGTCAGAAAAGTCGGATATATTCCGCGAACAAGATATCTTCGTTAAGGTATATTCGTCGCGTTTTTTATCGTTTCCGCTTCGTGGAGGAGATCACGAAGTATCGTATCGGCTCTTCCCGAAGAAACAAGATCGTACAACGAGAATGTCTCGCCGACGACAGGTAGGTAAATTTACCGATTCGATTATATTTCGTTCGATTGTCTTCGTGTAAAGCACGGCGGATTATCGCATCCTCTATAGTCTCTATCGCAAAAAGCATCGTCCTATATTAATGCGACTCGCGTATCTCGCCGGTACTTAATTTTCGTTACGCGAATCTAATTAATTCAATTGGGATTAATTATCCACGGGTACGAGTGGTACGCCACCGATATTCCTGGTCCTCGACGCGGGAGAGCAATTTGTAGGACGGCCACTC